TGGGCGATGACAGAGGCGGCTGGAAAAAGGCTGAGCAGTGTCCTCAGAATAGGTCATCCTATCCACTTGATTACTAAAATCCTCCTCTGCCAATGTCACCCATTGATGAGCACTCACATGGGATACAAATATCTTCACAGTTTTTGACCACGTAGAGAGGTTCATCCATATAGTTCTTCCCCAAATTTCTTTGTCACCAATTTTTCTCATGCTTTTTCCAAGTCTCTGACCATCCAACCAAACCATTGGCTACAGCTCATGAATCAGTATTTAATTGCACATCTGGCCATTTCTCCTTCCATGCAAAGTGCACAACCAGGTGCGCTGCTCGAAGTTCTGCCCACTGGGAAGATTTCCCTTCACTGCTGTCCTTCAGGGATGTCCTAGAAAAGGACTGTAGTGCTACAGCTCTCTACTTTCTGGTGGTACCTGCATATCATGCAGAAACATCTGTGAACCAGGCTCTAGTCTTCTCTTCCTCTGTCAGCTGATCATAGGGAACTCCCCATGAGGCCACTGATGCAGGCTGGGGAAGAAAAGGCAGGGTGGCAGGAATGGAGACCATGGGCATTTGAGCCACTTCCTCATGTAACATACTTTTGCCTTTAGGGCCTGCTCAAGCCCAATCGTGTGTATACTACTTCTACTGATGATAGAATGCTACTGTGCATGACCCACTTTATGGCTAGATGCATCAGCTAGATAGGCCGTTCACCTAGCATGGTGACATGATGACCCACAGTCAAATGTTCAATTTCCACCAAAGCCCAGTAACAGGCCAAGTGCTGTCTCTTGAAAGGAGAGTAGTTATCTGCAGAAGATTGCAGGGTCTTGCTCCAAAATCCTAGAGTCCTCTGCTGTGCTTAACCTATGGGTACTTGCCAAAAACACCAAACAGCATCTTTATCTGCCACTGATACCTCAAGCACCATTGGATCTGCTAGGTCATATGGCCCAAGTGACAGAGCAGTCTGCCCAACAGCCTGGACCTGTTGTAGAAGCTTCTGTTCTGAGCAACACTCAAAACTGGCAGTCTTTTGGGTCAGTGGATAAATGGGCTGGCGTAACACACCCAAATGGAGAATGTGTTGCTTCCAAAATCCAAATAGGTCCACTAGGTGTTTTGCCTCTTTCTTGGTTATAGGAGGGGCCAAATGCAGCAATTTATCCTTTACCTTAGAAGGAATATCTCGACAGGCCCCACACCACTGGACCCCTAGAAATTTTACTAAGGTAGAAGTTCCCTGAATTTTAGGTGGAGTTATTTCCCATCCTCTGGCATGAAATATCTCACCAATAAGTCTAGTATGTTTATTTCTTGCTCACTAGATTCAATCACCATAATGTCATCAATGTAATCGACCAATGTGTTATCTTGCGCAAGTGAACAGAGATCAAGGTCACTCCGAATAAGATTATGACATAAAGTCAGAGAGTTAATATACCCCTGAGGTAGGACAGTATAAGTGTATTGCTGAAGGCAAATTGTTTCTGTCGGGCCTTATGGACAGGACATTGGGCCAAGTCAATGGCTACATACCAGATACCAGGAGATGTGTTAATTTGCTCAAGCAATGAAACCATATCTGGTACAGTAGTTGCAATTGGAGTAACCACTTGGTTAAGCTTACAATAATCCATTGTCATTCGCAAAGGTCCATCTGTCTTCTGCACAGGCCAAATGGGAGAATTGGATAGGGATGTGGTGGGAATCACCACCCCTGCGTTTTTCAAGTCCTTGATTGTGGCACTAATCATTGCAATCCCTCCAGTGATGTGATACTGGTTTTGATTTATTATTTTTCTAGGTAGAGGCAGCTCTAATGCCTTCCATTTGTACTTTCCCACCATAATAGCCTTCACCCTACCAATCAGGGAGGCAGTGTAGGGGATCTTCCAGCTACTAAATATGTCTCTGCCAATTTTACATTCTGGCACTGGGGAAATGACCACTGGATAAGGTCGGGGACCCGCTGGACCCACTGTAAGTCAATCTTGAGCTAAAGTTGCATTAATTACCTCACCTGCATAAGCCCCTATTTTAACTAGAGGACCACAATGACGTTTCAGGTCTCCTGGAATCAATGTCAGCTCGTATCCAGTGTCTGATAGTCCCTAAAATGTCTGGTCATATTTATTTCCCCAATGCACAGTTACCCTTGAGGAAGGATGGAGAAGATTAACAGCATAAATTGTTGGTAGTGTAGCGGGATCCGTTCTCAAAGGGACATGGCCTCTCCTTCATTCAAGGGATTTTTGGGTGTATAAACTGGCTCAAGTCTGGAAATTGATTGAGGTGTCATGATTCTGTTCTTATAATTCAAATTAATTTTTTTATCCATTCGACCTAGAAGTTTTCTGATTATATAACTTAAGTATGAATGCAGTAGGTTTCCTATCAATTTCACTTCTAGGAACACTGTGATTAACTAGTCAACACCAGATCTCTACATGAGTCAGACTATTTTGACTTCTGCTTTGCCTTTGCTGTCCATTACAGTAATTATACCCGCCTTGCCTTTGATGTTTGAACTTGGCCCCTGGCTCCTCAGGATCCAATTATTCTTATTGTATTTAAATTTTGTAGTTGAGTGACTGTGGTTCTCACTGTTAGATCTGACATACAGAGAAGAGCAATTATAGGACTCTTCAAAGGTGCAGGTGCTGCACTCCCAAATCTATTTTGCAAGGCATTACTTAAGGATATATCATCTGGACCCTCCCAGCTAAGATGAGGAGGTCCAAAGTGACTAATCCACTCCACCATCTCAATCTCCCTTAGGCTTTGGATCCATTTCTCTACATTAAACCAAAGTAGATCAGGCATTTCCAGCTCACTCACAGTGGGCCATCTTTTAATCCATATTCCAGCTAACCAATCAAATAAACTATTAGAGCCTTTTTTAATTCCCCAAGCTGCAACATTCAATGCAGTCTCTACTTAATGGGCCCAAATCAATAAATCCAGCCTGATCCAACTCTATGTTCCTTCTACCATTACTCCACACTCTTAATATCCATTCCCATGCCTGTTCTCCAGATTTCTGCTTATATAAATTAGAAAACTCAAGCAATTCTTTTCAAGTGTAGCACACATCTTCATGGGTCTCACTCTCAATCTCACCTCTAGGGGTCTGCTGGGGCTTTAGTTTAGTTATAGGTATAGAAGAAAACAGGGGTGTTGGGGGTGCCTCCTGAGGAGAAAGAATCAACATTATCTTACCTGGCAACTGCCTCAGGGGAGGCCAACTTTGTTGCCTCAGGCAGTGCAGGGTTTATCTCCTCAGAAAAAGGTGGAAAGGCTGATGGCAGCATGGGTCTAGGAGGGGATGTTGCTGTGACTGCGGATGGGGAAGCTGTGTCTTCTGGCAAAAAAAAAAAAAAAAGGTTCATCATAGTTTACAAACTCAGCATCCTCAGCTTCATTAGGGTCCTGCCATACATCTGTATTCCAAGTTGCAGTCTCACATTTTTTTCTGATCAATGCTTTCACTTTAACAGGAGACACCTAGTGAGGCTATACATGCACCTTTTATTGCAGGTCAGCCACTCGCATACTAAGCTTGTGTTTGTTTTTTCAGTTTCAGCTCTTTCTCTACAGGAGATAAGATCTCACTCAGGGCAATCTTAGCAGATTTGAGGCTGAGTATCTGCTTCTGAAGCTAGGAGTCAGAAACTCTGAGTTCATCATTTTCTTTCATCACTTTGTCCACTGAACTTAGGAGCAACCAACCAGCTTCATTATCTCTTTGGTTCTCCACATATGGTTAAAGGTATTATGTGTAGAGTCACTAAACTCCTTGCCTCTCATGAGGGGTGAATCAGGAGTGTCAAATGCATTTATTTTGCATAACTTTCTAAACAGTTAATGCCAAGGACTATCAGTGTTCTCCATACTATTAGAAGTAGAGTCCCTAGTACTTTTCAGTCCAATCATATTAATCAGCCAAATTCAGAAATCCCAAAACCAACAAAAGAACTCCAAACTTAACATTCTGTTCCTCTAGAACTACTCCTGGTACCAAAATCGGTATTAGTCAGGGTTCTCTAGAGGGACATAACTAATAGGATATATATATATATATATATAGAGAGAGAGAGAGAGAGGAATTTATTAAGTATTAACTCACATGATAACAAGGTCTCACAATAGGCCACCTGCAAGCTTAGGAGCAAGGAGAGCCAGTCTGAGTTTCAAAACTGAAGAACTTGGAGTCCGACATTCAAGGGCTGGAAGCATCCAGCCCAGGAGAAAGATGTAAGTGGGAGGATACACCAGTCTAGTCCTTTCATGATTTTCTGCCTGCTTTTATCCTAGCTACACTGGCAGCTGATTAGATGGCGCTCACCAAGATTAAGGGTAGGTCTGCCTTTCCCAGCCCACTGACTCAAATATTAATCGTTTTTGGCAACACCCTCACAGAAACACCTAGAACACCCTCACAGAAACACCTAGAACAACACCTTTGCATCCTTCAGTTCAATCAAGTTCACATTCAATATTAACCATCATGCCAATCGAGGAACATCAAATATATTTAAAAATAAAGAATTGCAATCAAAACTTTTCAGTTGCTGAAAACACTCTCCCAGTTCATCTCAGGGCATACAAAAACTATAGAAAAAAAAATCTACATGAATAAAGTCTCTATACACATTATTTACAGAGAGAAAATAATATTTCATTTTAGAAAGTCAGAAATCAAAAATAATTTAAAAATAACCCGGAAAATGGGAAATCAGGGTGAGCCAAATAATCACATACTACGGAAGAGAAACAAAGAAAATCATACTAATAAAATTGAAGGAATAAAAGGTTAAAACAATGAAAGAGAAGTAGTATTTCTAATCATAACTTTAAAAGTCTTACAGAAGTAAAAATATAAATTAAATCAGCATAATAAGAAATCTATGAGATAGACCCAAAGAAATAAAAATTGTTCTATCATAAAGACACATGCATATGTTTACTACAGCACTACTCACAATAAGAAAGACATGAAATCGGCGTTTTGTTCTTGCCTGGCATTGGTGGTTTGTTTCTGTGACTTGTGTTAGGACTGCTGATAGGAAGATGTCTTCAGGAAATGCTAAAATTGGGCACCCTGCCCCCAACTTCAAAGCCACAGCCGTTATGCCAGATGGTCAGTTTAAAGATATCAGCCTGTCTGACTACAAAGGAAAATATGTTGTGTTCTTCTTTTATCCTCTTGACTTCACCTTTGTGTGCCCTACGGAGATCATCACTTTCAGTGATAGGGCAGAAGAATTTAGGAAACTCAACTGCCAAGTGATTGGCGCTTCTGTGGATTCTCACTTCTGTCATCTAGCATGGATCAACACACCTAAGAAACAAGGAGGACTGGAACCCATGAACATTCCTTTGGTATCAGACCCGAAGTGCACTATTGCTCAGGATTATGGGGTCTTAAAGGCTGATGAAGGCATTTCATTCAGGGGCCTCTTTATCATTGATGATAAGGGTATTCTTCGGCAGATCACTGTAAATGACCTCCCTGTCGGCCGCTCTGTGGATGAGACTTTGAGACTAGTTCAGGCCTTCCAGTTCACTGACAAACATGGGGAAGTGTGCCCTGCTGGCTGGAAACCTGGCAGCTGACGAGTTGGATGGGTGTGCCACGCAACATGGCACCAAGTCATACTATGTAACCCACCAAACCCTGCACGTATGCCCACATG